GCAATACCACATAGGGCAAGTCATACACAATACCACATAGGGCAAGTCATACGCAATACTTCACTACCATTCCCAGTAGGATAACAATAACAGTCCACTACCACTCCGGGTAGGACACCATAACAGTCCGCTACCACTCCGGGTAGGACACAATAAACAGTTCACTACCACTCAGGGTAGGACACGATAAATAGTTCACTACCACTCCGGGTAGGACACAATGATAAACCACTACCTCCTCGGGTAGGGTAACAACCATAAACTTACCAACACGTTACCTCTTTCACATACCTCATTCACATAAGTGAGTATGAATTAGAGCCACTTATCCCTTACCTTGGTGAGCGTTGGGGATCGGTTCCGAGTAACTTTAAAAGTCTCCTCCGCGATTTCCTCTAACCTTAGGATCTTTCCTCATTTCCACCAATAACAACAATGTTAGTCATTTATTCCAAATATCACATAAACAACTTACTCTGCATCATTTAATCATACAAAATATTCAACCATCTAAAACATGCATAACATCTCATATTTCAATATTTCCAAAACTACTTCAATACAAGTTTCAAAATATCAAAGCATACATGTTCATCTCATATAACAACATCAAAGCCATTATCCACATCTAACATTTCATCTCTTTCTCTTTATACTCGTATTCTCATTTTTGGGGGTTTTTGGGGTTTTTCATGAATAACCCATAAAACTTTCCATTCATCAAATAACAACTCTAAACTAAGAGTTTACAAGATAAAAACAACATAAAAGGAACCATAACTCTAAAAGATGAGTTTCCATGGTTTCTCATGTTTTGAAAATAAATCCAACATACCCAAAACAAGTTAGAGAGGAAGAAAAAGAGTTAGTAACAAGAGGTTTACCTCTTCTCAAGCTCCAAGATGAGTCCTAAGGCTCTTTGCTCTTGAAAAGCTCTCATTTCTCTCTTCTCTTCGAAGTTCTAACCCAAAAATGTGTTTAGGTTTCTGTTTTAAAGAGGTGTCGTCGGGTTGTAATCGATTACCAACATGGTGTAATCGATTACAACGTGAAAAATACGCATATCTGATGCTTTTAATAGGATGTAATCGATTACCAGAAGTGTGTAATCGATTACCAGAAGAGTGTAATCGATTACCAGAAGAGTGTAATCGATTACCAGCAGAGTGTAATCGATTACCAGCAGAGTGTAATCGATTACCAGCAGTGTGTAATCGATTACCAGAAGTGTGTAATCGATTACACTGTGTCAGATGCACATATCTGATGCTTTTAATACGATGTAATCGATTACCAGCAGAGTGTAATCGATTACACTGTGTCAACAGCCTAAAATTGCCATTTCTCGACGCGAGAATCCTCCGGTATAGTCCAGGATTTCACCCTCCCAGCTGATCCTTTTTCGCTCAGGCGAGAATCTCTCGATCAAGCGAGGCTTCCAGGACTGATACTATATTTTTAAAGATTAAAATTTGGGGTGTTACAGCTTATAGTAATTCTATGTTGATTTTTGCTGGGAAACTCATTATTCAGTGAGGTAACCTATTATGCAGACCCAATAACCTGTTATGTAGTCCCAATAACTTGTTGCTCACTGTTACACAATTCAAAGAACTTGTTACCTAGGTCCAGTAACCTGTTACTCAGGTCAAGTAACTTGTTACTTAGCATTTTGAAAATTGGGTTAAATTGACTAAGAGTTTTTCGATTATTTTCAAAATTGTTTTGCCACTTATTGAGCATTGCTACTAAACATTAAAAGTACCTATTGAAAACTTAAACTCTATATTATCTTGAAGCTTGACCTTCTATGTCTTAAAAATATTCTTCCTTTTTCTTCTTTTTGTGATCTTAGTGTCTTCATCTAAACTATGTCAAGGTCAGGAACACGATCTTCTTCAAAAAACTATCAATTTTACTCTAATATTACCTACTTTATTGAGTGTTACTAATCAATAATATCACATTATAATTCCCAACCAATTGGATATAAAATTAAGTAGATGAATGATGATTCCCAATTTATTGAAATCTATTGGGAACCAACATATTAATACCATTATATAAAATAAAATTGGTATCTACATCTCTCATTGGAATATTATGTAAGTGTCAACAGTATATTTTGAGACTCCAAAAATATTTTCCCTACTTTATTAAGCATATTTGACATTTTTAAAATTCATTTAGTTCTAAATTCTAAACAATAGTTTCAAAAAGAATTAAAAAAAACCATAAACCATAAACCCTACAACTCACAATTCTATTCCCAAATAGTAGTATTTATATAATACCCTAAAGAAACAATCAAATCTACTATTCTATCGCGTAATTTATTTATCTTACTTATTACAAATATCATATTGATATGTGTAAGTCTAGATGGCAAACTAAGAAATAGTGAATAAGTTTTCTGGTTTTCTACAATTTATATGCAGATTTTTGCAACTTGTTAAATGTAAAACTCAGATATGCAACGGAAAACTTAAGTTAGCAAAAATCAAATTGCAGAATGTAAAAGAGTAATGGAAAAGATATAAAATCGATGTATCATGGTTTACCTTCTATCCACTGAATGTTATATCTAGTCTTCTTGAAAACCACAAGAGATCACTACAACAGATTTTATATTTAGTGGAGGTTTTTTATGTGATTAGCAGAGGTTTTTAACCTCCAAAATATAACTAGCAGAGGTTTCTAAAACCGCTATAGTTATGACCGCTAGAAGCATTTTTCGGAGGTTTTAGAAAACCTTTGGTACCGATAAATTTGCAACGGTTTATTAGTAGAGGTTTTTAGCCTCGGCTATTTGATGATGTTTTTAGCCTCAGCTATTTGAGGAGGTTTTTAGCCTCGACTTTTGAGGAGGTTTTTAGCCTCCACTATTTGAGGATGTTTTTGCATCATTTATCGTGGAGGTTGTAAATCTCCACAATATGAGGAGGATTTTTTAGTGTTTAACATGAAGGCTTTAAACCTCCACTATTAGATATGGTTAATTGCACAGATTTTCAACCTCCAATACTTGAAATAATTTTTCTATAGGATTTTAACCTCAATTTAATTTCATAATTTTCACAACTTTAATCTCATTAATTTATAATTATTATTTAAATATACAATACTAAATACAAATGTTCTTAACAATAATAAAATTTCATTGCAAATAACTAAAAATAGTCTCAAAAACAAAATATTGAGTGATGCTAAAGGTAGCGTAACATAGTCGAAAGAGTTATAATTTGTCCTTCATTATAAATCCAAATACAACATAAAATCTCAAAAAATTAAAAGTAGTTTCATATGACACTTTAAAAATAAAATACTAACAAATATCCTAAATAGAAACGTAATGAAACCCTTTTGCTTCATGAAGATAATTACACTTTACTCATGAACTATTATCCAAAGCATTCACATTTCTTTTTAGTGAAAAATGAGGTCCAAAATTAGGTAGAACTCAAGTAGAAAAACCCACATCACATATTAAAACATCAATATTCTATGTCAACTATTTCACCAAAAAGTTAAAAACAAATATGGTAACAATTTTGTAAAAACAAACATCAGTACTTTTTTCCTTTCTTTCTTCTGGATGTATGCTCTATGTTCTTAACTTGTTATACAAAATCTATATGAACATAGTAGAAGCCTAATTGCCTATATATTCATAGACAACATACACTCTAAGATTCATACACAACATAGAAGAAGCAATTCCTACTAATATTATTTTCTCTAGACAATCAACATATGCTCCAGTTTTGGTAGTGAGCTTTCTTTAGTAATACTTAAGAAAGGGGATTGATCTTATATCTTATAAAAGCAATACTTAATCTTGATTGACTGTGAGAATTCAATTATTGGTGTGGGAGAATTGCAATTGATGTGGCTGAATTTGAGAAGGAAAACATAAAACAATATAAAGATTTTTCATGTCTATTGCAGTGGGACCATGACGTAAGAATGAGATTGCAACTAAGATAGGGTGAATTAGTTGTCTTAAAATTATAGCCACTTTTTCTGCAAAATTGAGAGTTTAAGTACAGCGGAAATATTATGCAGAAAAATAACAACCGAAAATTAAAAGGATAAAGGAGAAGAGAGTACACAGATGTTTTTATATTGGTTCACCTTCTTGTCCACCGAAGACTACGTCCATTACTCTTGCAGCACAAGAAATTTCTTCACTAAATATTATGAGTTGTAATTACAATATCTCACCCTGAGATCTCTATGTACCTTACACACTCACTAATACTTAATCACCCTTGGAAAACACATTTCCAAGTAACTTTATCCCCTTTCTATTCACACACCCTTGTGAAAGAAAGAATTCTTGCAAAATGAAGAATTTAAAAAAATGGCAGGATTGCCTTTACAAGTTTGATATAACAATTATAACTTGCAATCCAACAACTCTTTGTATACTATAAGTAATAATGCTCTTTGGAAGTTTGAAAAACTTAGAAACACTCTTAAGCAACTCAGAAAAAATAACTTTGAAAGTTTGAGTGCAGAAAAATATTCAGAAAAAGTGTGAGATCTTTTGAAAGATTTGTATCAAAGTTGTTCTATGAGTTGTTTTATGAGTTATGTGTTCTAATACCTTTATACATGTTTTCCAATCAACCATAAAAACTCTAGGGAAGTGTAGCTTTCTTTGGAATGAAACACTTTTGTTTGGGGTGAAAACCTTTCACTTTGAAATCTGAAAACTGGTGAAACAGCTCTCACTAATCGATTACAACAAGTGGGTAATCGATTACCCAAACATCTTGTCCAACTGTATTTTCAAAATTTACACAGTGTAATCGATTATACGCTTTGAGTAATCGATTACCCAAATTTTCTGTCCAACTGATTTTGAAAAATTACTTAGTGTAATCGATTACATACTTTGAGTAATTGATTACCCAACTTTACTGAAACTGGTAATCTGTTACTCAAAGACAGTAATGGATTACTCTGAGCAGTTGGATGTTGGATAACTCATTTCTCACACATGTAATCTGTTACTTAAGTACAGTAACCCGTTACATACTATTGTTGAAAATTGTTTTGATTATACTTATGTTTCAATCTTCTTTAAAAATAATTTGAGCATTACTACTAAAGTATATTCGAGAGTATAGGATAGAAGTACCTATTTAGACTTAGACTAATTTGTCTTGAAGCTTTTTCTTCTTTGTCTTCATAAGTATTCTTCCTTTCTTCTTTTTGGTGATGTTAGTGTCTTCATCAAAATCGTGTCAAGGTCAGGAGCAAAAATCTTCTTCACACATGATTGTTACATGAACTGGTTATTAGTCTCTCAAAGATTACACCTTCTATTATACATACCAAGAAGAAGAAGAAGAAGTGATTAACACAACACAACAACACAACACAACACAATAACACAAGACAGGACAACAGAACACAACACAAGACACTAGTCTACTTTCTTCTTTACTCAATGACGACTATGTCATCTGCTAATGGTATTATTATTCATTTCCTCCTTATTTTCACTTTTACTTATCTCTATTTCATACTGTTGGAGTATGTTGCAGTAAAAAACAGAGAAGAATAGAAAGCTTATGGATTAGAGATAGTTGGAGAGAAAGAGAGTTATATGAGAGAGTAAATTGAATGAATACTTCATATGCATTAAGAAATGCTAGATACACATGCACTCTATTTATAGAACTTCAACTTCAACTAACTTCAACTAACTTCTATTTATAGTATGGATTATTTCTAACACTCCCACTTAATCTATACTATAAACTACACTCTACAACATTCAAAAGTCTTCTTAACTCTCTAAATCTTTCTGCTTTGAGTGGCTTTGTCATCACATCAGCAACTTGAAATTCTGATTTGCAATGTTTCAAGTTGATCTTCCCTTTTCCAACTTGATTTCTAAGAAAATGGTATTTCCTCTCAATATGTTTGCTTCTCCCATGTGCAACTGGGTTCTTAGCAAGATTGATGGCAGATTTATTGTCAACTTGCAGCTCTATAGTTCCATTAAAGCCAAGCTTCCATTCTTCCAGCAGTGAGATTAGCCATAAGGCTTGGCAGGCTGCATGACAAGCTGAAATATACTCAGCTTCACAAGTAGATAGAGCCACCACTTCTTGCCTCTTAGAACACCATGAAATAGGAGATCCATAGAGCATGAAAACATAGCCCATAGTGCTCTTCCTTTCAAGCATATCACCACTCCAATCTGAATCTAAGTAAGCTACAAACTGCAGGCTGCATTTTGATGGCTGATTAGAGAAGAGAATGCCAAATTTGCTTGTGCCTTTCAAGTATCTTAGGATCCTCTTAGCTGCTACAAGGTGTGATTTTCTTGGATCATTCATAAATCTACTCAACAATCCAACACTATATGAGATTTCAGGTCTTGTGTGGCATACAAATCTCAAACAGCCAACCATCTGTCTATACAAAGTGCTGTCAACTGCATCTTCATTCTCAGCCCTATCAAGCTTCAAATTCACCTCTGCTGGTGTCTCTGCTGCATTACAATTCATCATTCTGAACTTCACCAAGACATCGTGAATGTACTTTCTTTGATGCATCAACATTCCCTCATTGACTTGAGTGAAGTCAATGCCAAGAAAGTATGCTAGCTTACCCATATCAGTCATTTCAAATTCTGATTTCAGCTTGAGTTTCACCTCTTCAATTCCACTTGCATTGTTGCCTGTGATTAGCAAATCATCTACATATAGGCAGATGATTAAAGTGTCATTGTTGCTCACTGACTTGATGTACACACCATGCTCAACATCACACTTCTTGAATCTTGTGCTGGAAAAGAATGAATCTATCCTCTTGTTCCAAGCCCTTGGGGCTTGCCTTAAGCCATACAAAGCTTTCCTTAGCTTGTATACTTTGTGCTCACTTCCCTTTATCACAAATCCTGGAGGCTGCTGAACATATACACATTCTTCAAGTGGTCCATTTAGGAATGCAGCCTTCACATCTAGTTGCCATATCTCCCACTTAAGTTTGCTTGCTAGAGCCACAATCAGTCTCACAGTTTCTAGCCTTGCTACTGGTGCAAACACTTCAGAGAAATCTATTCCTTCTCTTTGCATGAAGCTCTTTGCAACAAGTCTGGCCTTGTGTTTAGCAGTAGATCCATCAGGATTCAACTTTGTCTTAAAGACCCACTTCACAGCAATAGGAGCTTTATCTATTGGAGGCTGAACCAGTTCCTAGGTCTTGTTCTTCTGAATGGACCTCAATTCTTCATTCATGGCTTCCTTCCACACTTCATTGTTAACTGCTTCATCTACAGAAAGTGGCTCAGTATCTGCAAATAAAGCCATGAATTGTACTAGTTCTCCTTCACTGCTCACTGCATCATCAGGTGAGATTATGCAGTCTCTAAGTCTTGCAGGCAAATTCCTTGTCCTTGTGGGTCTATCTACATCAATTCTATCATTAGAGTTCACTGTTTCAGGTTCAACTTCAGTCACTGCCTCAGACTCATATTGACTGTGATCCTTATCTGACCATTCAATAGGAACTTGCACACAAGTTGTTGATCTAGACTTGTCATTTTTCCAAGAGCTTGACTCCACAAAGTGCACATCTCTACTGAAAATCACTTGATTTGTTCTTGGATTGAGCAGCTTGTAAGAACCAGTAGGATGATAGCCAACAAACACCATTGCTTCACTCCTATCATCTAGTTTTCTCCTTCTTTGGTCAGGGATATGCTTATAGCACAAAGACCCAAAGATCTTGAAGTGACTTACTGAAGGTTTAACTCCTGTCCACAACTCTTCAGGCACCTTGTAGGCTAGCTTCTTTGTTGGGCAATGATTCAACACATAAACTGCAGTAACAACAGCCTCACCCCACAGACCTTGTGGTAGATCTCTGCTTCTAATCATGCTTCTAACCATATTCATAGTGGTTCTGTTCCTCCTCTCAGCAACCCCATTGTGTTGAGGAGTGTATGGGGCTGTTATCTCATGCAGAATCCCCTGCTCCTTGCAAAAAGCTTCAAACTCCCTTGAGGTATATTCACCTCCTCCATCTGTCCTCAACACCTTTATGGATTTTTCAGATTGCTTTTCAGCCATGCTTTTGAATGTCTTGAACACAGAGAACACCTCACTCTTTGCTTTGATCAGATACAACCACATCTTTCTACTATAATCATCAACCAAGGTCATGAAATATTTGTTTCCACCTAGAGATGGAACCTCTAAAGGGCCACATACATCATAGTATACAATGTGTAGCAGACTGTTAGCTCTGGATGCAGTGAATTTGCTAAAAGCTGTCCTTGGTTGCTTGCTCACCAAACAGCTATCACACACTTCCTTAGGCATCTGAATTGAAGGCAGACCAAACACCATTTCCTTTGACTTCATGAGGCTAAGATCTTTGAAATTGAGATGACCTAGTCTCATGTGCCAAAGCCAAGCATCATTTGTAATGATTTCAGTGTTGAAACATTGTGACTCAATTGCATTCAGGTTGACTTGAAATGTCCTGTTTTGTGTCAAAGGAGCCCTTATAATTTTTCTATCAGATGAGTCATAAACCTACAAGCAACCTCCTTGCATATTCACAGAGAAACCCTTTTCCAACAACTGACCCAAACTGATTAAATTTGTCTTCATGTTAGGCACAAAGAGCACATCTGTGATCATTGCTTTCTTGCCATCTTTCTTCTGGATCAAGACATCTCTTGTCCCTTCTGCTTGAATGAGTCTGTTGTCTGCAAATCTGACCTTGCTGCCCTTACTTGGATCAAAGTTAACAAGCCAATCTCTATGGCCTGTCATATGATTGGAACAGCCTGAGTCAATATACCACACTTCATCACCCTTATCCTCTTGACTTGTGGTCATCATCAACAACACAGGAGTATCTTCTTCCTTGACTTCCAATTCTTCCTTCACCATGTGTGCATCATTGTGTTGTCTGTTGTTGTAGTCAAACTGTCTAGGTTGTGATTGACATTCAGAAGAGAAATGTCCAATCTTGCCACAGTTGAAGCATTTGATCTTCTTCCTATCTAGCTTCCTCTTGCCACCTCTATTGGAATTGAATCCACCTCTTCTTGGATAGCTTCTATTTTGTTCTTGATCAAAGCTTTCTTGATCATGGTTTAAACTTCTTGCCTTATGGTCTCTGCTTCTCCCTTGGTTTCTGAATCCACCTCTGCCATTGTAGTTCCCTCTTCTTGAGGTCTGAACTTGCAATGCCTGATCCAATGGCTGCTTATTTGTGGATCTCTCAATGAGCCTTTGCTCATGAGCCTCAAGTGAGCCTTGTAACTCCTCTAGCCTCAATTCCTCCAGCTTCTTTGATTCCTCAATGGCTACAACTATGTGGTCAAACCTAGGATTCAAGGTTCTTAACACCTTTTCTACCAGGGTCTGATTGGAAATCAACTCACCATATGCCTTCATTGCATTTGTATGACTGATCAATCTGTTGAAGTATTGAGCCACCTTCTCATTTTGATCCATTTGCATGAGCTCATATTGCCTTCTCATAGTCTGCAACCTCACCTTCTTCAATTGTTCTGCTCCTCTGTTCCCTTTTTCCAATATTTCCCAGGTTTCTTGAGATGATTTTGCAGTGGCAATTTTCTCAAAGTGTGCATCATCTACACACTGATGAAGAATACACATGGCCTTGCAATCCCTTTTCTTGTTCTCCTTATACACCAACCTTTCTTGATCTGTAGCTTCTGGATTCAGTGCAAGAAACCCCTCTTCCACGATCTCAGTGAGTTCTTGACCTCCCAGGATAGCTTTCATTTGAATGCTCCATCGATTCCAGTTCTTTCCATCAAGAACAGGAATTGTGTGTTGAAAACTTGTACTTGATTGAGCCATTGTGATGTAAGAATGAAGAAGAAATCAGCAAGAACAGTGAAGGGAGAAGTGAATCGAAGGAGAAGATGATATGGTGATTCGTCGAAGAAGAAGAAGAAGTTCCTTGGGATCTAACCTAGCTCTTGATACCAATTTGTTGGAGTATGTTGCAGTAAAAAACAGAGAAGAATAGAAAGCTTATGGATTAGAGATAGTTGGAGAGAAAGAGAGTTATATGAGAGAGTAAATTGAATGAATACTTCATATGCATTAAGAAATGCTAGATACACATACACTCTATTTATAGAACTTCAACTTCAACTAACGTCAACTAACTTCTATTTATAGTATGGATTATTTCTAACACATACAATATATTTCTAGTTTTGTACACTAGACAATCAACATATGTTCCAATTTTGGTAGTGAGCTTTCTCTAGTAAGTTGCATGGTAAAGCAATATTGAATTTACTCTATCCAAACTATTAAACTCTAGTCATCATTAAGTCTAACATGTGCGACAAAGCTAGTTTACTTAGATTCAGTTTATTTCAAGGTTTTAATGCATGATTTGATTGGTATCCAATATTATTGGATATTTCTATGCTTACATTGAACATAAAACAAAGATCTGACATAGACGATGGGTTATTTTCAAAATTGAAAACCCTAACATTATTGAAAATGAAATAGACGGGAAATTGAGAGAAGGAAATTGGAGCAAAGAAAAATGAGAAAAACCCTAACTAGAGAGGACAGATTCGACTTTGGAGGTGGAGAAGGAGAGGATGAATGATAACCTGCGTTAATTTGAAGGAGAGGAAGAAACTTTATCTTACATGCTTTATGCCCAAAAAGCAAAAGACCATCTCATCTTGTCACTAGATAAAAACATAATGAGACCCCTTTTGCTTCATTAAGATAATTACACTTTACTCTTCCTCATCAATAGAGGTAAAATTATTATTATTTTTATTGAATTTCCATTCTCTTCTCTTGTTTTTTATTGAATTTCTAGGTTTCTTGTTTTAGTTGTTTATTTTTATATATTATCTTTATAAATTTATATCTATTAATTTTAAAGTGTAATATTTATATTCTTTATTTGAAAATGACAGTTTATTTGGACCCTTAGTGTGTTTTGGAATTAAAGTGAGAGAGTTTTTTATAGTTGGATGCAAAAAAAATTCAAATTGATAGTGGATGTTGGAAACCTCCAAAGATTAAATAAAATCCTCCACTATATATTTAGTTAATTGTTCAACCCCTCATTTAATTTATTAGGGAAAGTTTGACTAACTTCCACACAAAAACCTTCACAAAATACAAAATTTGGTGTAATGAGTTTCACTACATAATAAGTGTTAATCTTACAAATCTTACACCAAGACGTTGCCTAAGATTATCACTCATGAATCTTACAATTAAGAAGTACACCACTTCTTAATTATCATTTTTCCCAACCAAACCCTATGGCGAATATACAACAATTGAATACATGAATAACTTTGTATTTGTGGCTAAGGATTGTTTTGTAATATAACTCTTATGTTTCAATTCTTGTAATTCAATTACAATAAGTAACACACAAATACTCTAGTGTTTTCCACATGAAAATGAAGTGCATAAACCTTGTTATGAAAACGCTTTTACAACTTTTCAAGAAATCAAATTTTTTACTTATGTTGCAAAATGTGTGTATGAATTATATGTAAAAGTTGTGTGAATGATTAATTTGGAATCGAAATGCCAACTAACATACCTATTCCAAGATGTAGAAGTCCATTGGAGAGACATTGATTCGTTTTAGAAGAAGTTGTTTCAGTTTGAATCTGAGAACTGCTATGGTACTCTATTACTTATATGGTGTAATCAATTACGCTAAGCTTCTATCAAACCAGTAATTAGTTACTCTACCTTATTTTTGTCTTGTACATATTACTCTGTTTGGGTAATCGGTTACTCTGTCTCAATAACTTATTACTCTATTTCGAGTAACATGTTATTTGGCTTTTTGAAAATTAATTAAGTAAAAATACTTGGGATTAGAAGTACCTAACTTAGAAAATTAAATAGTCTTGTTCACTTTATGTGCATGCTTCTAAGTCTTCAAGTCTTTAATCCTTCTTTTCTTTTTGTTGAGTTGATGTTGGTTTCTTATTTAAAACATAGTCAAAGTCAGGAGTTAGATCTTCTTCAAATATTGATATTCATCACTAATTCGAGATAAAATTGTAGAGAAGATGGGTGATACTTAATTTATTCAAATAATCTTTTATTTATATCTTATTCATTTAATAATTACATTTTTGGAAATAAACATGGTACCAATTATATTTAACAATGTTACCATATTTATTCGTTGAATATTGTATTCAACTTTCAGAACATCAAAGATATATTTTGATACTCCAAAATATATTTTAAGCTTTTTTAGCAACTTCAACATTTTACAAATTTTATCGTTTTAAGTTGATTTTATAATTTGGGAACCTTGATGGTTATAATTTTAAACAAAAATAATAATGATATATATTCTTCATTGAAAATGTATTATATTTTGTTAGCATGAAGAGTGTATTTTGAGACTACACATATAGTTTTTCTTAGTTTATTAAAGAGGAAATAATACTATTTTTATAACACTCTAAAGAAACTAGCAAATCTATTCTTATATGACCAAAAAAAATTACTTTTACTAATTACTAATAATGTATTATTATTCCACCAATTTGAGATAAATTATATAGATGGTGGATGATGCTTAATTTCTTAAAATCATATTTATTTTATATTCTATTCATTTGAAAATTTAATTTTGAGAAACAAAAACTAATAGTAATTTTTAAGCTCAATTCCTCACTAGAGTATCATATTTTTTACTTGCTAGAGTATCTAGACTACAATAATTTTGTCATTTCCTCTGTATGCATATAAAATTTAATATTTGATAGAGCATTTAATATTGAAATTGTATAAATTTGGGATAGAAACAACTATGAGCAGACATGTGTAGTAACTACCCGCTACGCATTCTACAAATCGAATATTTTACCCATAACGACCCATATCCTTAGAGTACATGCTTGTAGGATTTTAGCGGGTAACATTAAGAACTAAATACAATGAATACCACAACTATTTATTAGATGCTTTAGAAAATGATAAACTTTTTAGAAGGGTTACTGTTTTGACATTTTTTATTTATTTCAAGTACCTATTAACCAAAAAAAACTTCTATATTATAAATTGATGGGGGTTAATATAGATCACTGTGGTTTTATAGTACATTATAGTACAATAGTCACGGTTTTAATTGTGGCTAACATCTTTTCATATTATCAAAGAAATGTCAAGAACATGGTTTCAGTTATGCATTTAAAATATTTCATTATATGATAATCATGAAATCCAAGATCCTTAAAGAATTCATAATTCTTTAATCAAGATTCTAATAATAACTAGCCAATCACATTTTTCAGGATGTAGAGAGGACAGAAATATAAGTTTTCCTGTACAAATGGAACTGCAATGGAGAATATAGACCTGGAATAAAGGGAAATTGAATGAAGCAAGAGGAATAAGTTTCTTTAGGAATTTAGCTAATGTTTGATTGTATAGGGATAGAATAACTTTATGATGTGCTGAATCACAGGGGAGATGTCCTGTCAAATGAGACTCCATATAAAATTTTTGTTTGGGGTAAATATATTTTGGATCTCTTATCTAAGAAAAATATGCATGACTTCATATTTATCACCCTATATAATTTAATATGGGTGGGGATCCACTTACTTCAAGTTTAAGTTTTTTAAACTTACTCCACATCTTAGCCATCAATTCTAGAGAAATCTAATGGTTTAAATCTATCCACTAATTCAAATCATTAGATTTCCCTATAATTAATGGCGAAGATGTGAAGTAAGTTTAAAAAACTGGAGTCAATGGATTCTTCCTCATGTAATATAAGTATTAGCAAAAGGAATTAGGTGAACTCATTTAAGGTCATTGTTACTCAAATTTGGACATCCCAATATATAATGTATAAGAATAATAGGTTGTTAGGGTGGAAAAATGAAAAAATGTTTCAGGTGGCAAAGTCAGAGCACACCACAGAAGATCCACGTTCTCAGATGTAAGCTTTGGACTAGTGACGTTTCATTTCCTGAAATATATTTGACACCTTTGGCGATAATCTTGGAAGGAATTTGAATAGCTGTATCACAAAAACAACAAAGGACTACAAATTAATTGAAACAGAACAAATTCCTATAGCTGCATATATAGCACAAAATTTCAGACTCATAGTAATGTTATTCAAGACAAAAGCATCATGCTTTGCATATTGTTGCATTACATGTGTTGGGTTTATTCAAGTGTGAAGTCCCACATTGGATATGCGGGAATGAGTAAAAGAGTTTATAAGTAGAAAAAGCTCATGGAACGAATGCCTTAAAGTTTTGGTTCAAGACGTGGTGCATCATTTGTGGCTCTGCACTCTTCCCATACCCGGTAACAATGGAACTATCCGGTGGTTGGAGGCTCCCCGATCATAGTCTGGTCCAACAACATGTATCATAAGCAACAGTCCTATCAAAAGGTGAGTGTTATGTGACTCTATTGTAACCTAAAAGTCAGATATGGAAAGTGGAAAACAGCATCTCTTTTTACAATTTGCAAGGATTCAACACTTGCAAAACCTCCAAAACAGTGTCAGACATAGTGCATTTAGCCACAATAATTTCCCGTGTTAGGTGAGAAAGAGATTCAAAATATCATGTATGAAAGAGAGATAGGAAGCCAATGATCAAGGGTAAATGGCATGTTAGGACCTAGTTCCTTTGGAGGATGTTCAATGAAGTGAAATCACTCAAGTTCTTAGTTGCAAACTCTGAAACTTAGAGGTTTAGGGGACTCAATATCATGAATTACAACAAATATTTTCTACAATAAAACTTAAGCATGTTTCTCATTTTTTTTAATTGACCCTCTGCAGTTACTCACCCCCTTGGTCTGTTTAATTATTCTGATCCTGTAACTACTCTGTACTAAAACACTATCTATGAATGAATCAATTTTCAACATGTAACAGGATAGCAGAAACAATTTTATGTGTCTAGCTCTCCCTTGTTAGGCATGGCATCAAAGCTTTCATCGCTCTGATTACTCCCTCTCTTTTCATCTTTATGCTATCAATGACTAGTTGCTGATATTATAGAAGAATCTATATTATGTATAAAAGGAAATAACTTTTGCCTTTTGCCATATGTGATTAATCTCTCTGTATCAATACTTCATTTCCTTTCCAAAAACTGTTTTTTTTTTTCAATTTTTAGACTACCAATAACGTTCTTTTTTTTTCAATTTATTTTGCCTTAAGTTCATAAATGTTAATATGGTTTCTCCTAATAAAGGGCGGACCAATACATAAGGCTCCTACCTAGTGAAGTTTGAGGAGAATAAATGTATGTAACTTAATCCTCGTATGCGTAGAAGTTGTTTCAAGGATTCAAATTCATGACCTCCAAATCACAAGACAAGAGACCTTCCGATGTGTTAAGTCTCACTCTAGATAGGAGAAATTCAGTTTCTCCTAATATTAATTTTTTCCTAACATGGTAAAAAGTTAGTATGGAATTGGACCTTCAAGTTTTTAGTTATCAAATATATCCTGAAGTTTTATTAGTACCAAATTGTCCCTAAACTATTTTAATTTTTAAATGGGTCCTGAACTTGATACTAATGTATAACCATGTTAGAAAATTTTTGCTATGAATATTTTCTAAAGTTACACGAAAAAATATATTATTTGTTATAATATATATCAGTGATTTAAATTGCGGACCGCATCACCTAATGTGGCCG